GGGATATAAATTGAATTAATAAAATAAATAATAAATAAATAAATATCTAATATTCCCCCATATTTCAATTTCGTGATTCTTGCAGGGAGAAAATTCTACAATTTTTCCTTCAGATTTTTAATGTTTGTTGATGTCAATTTATGACATGACTGCTAGTTTCAAAGCATTATGAATTCATTGTACTACTGTTTAACTTGAAGAGACTTAGTTAGTCCCATCTGGGAGGGAAATAGTCTTGCCATAAAACTCAGGCACCCGAGTTGGCATACAGCTGAAAAGAATCTAGTTCCTGAATCTGAGAATATCCAATACTTTTACAAAGTGGCTTTTTCAATATAGGCACACCCAACAATATGAACCACAAGTAGTTCAGACAAAGAAAAAAGCATTTATTAAGTAGGGGTCAAGTCTTTATATAAGGTACAGAAACAAATTATAAACACATTTGATATGTGCGATATGTCAGAAGGTAAAAAATCAAACAATAAAAGACATAAAGTCTTGGTTTTGTTAGATTTGTGAAAAGACCCACTTAAATTATGCTGCTGGGGTTTGTTTCTTTAACACTTGCTACTTTAATCACGGACTTCATAATACAGCCCTATTTAGACACTAATAAAAATATATACCTATATATATTCTAATAAAGATAATTGGGGTATTTAGAAATAATATTCATGTGCTGGGAAAATAAAACTTAAATGTACCTTAATTTCAATTTTTTCCTTTAATATGGAAACAAATGATAAAGTAAAATATATGGAAACTTTCTTCTCTATAGTCAGACATTGTCAAGTGAATCTAAGTTATTGCAAAATAATAACATATTCTAGGAAATAGCTTTAACTCATAAAAAAACTTGAAAGCAGACATGAATGCCATCTAAAATGCTAATCTCTTTATTGAAATACTACGGTATTAATAAAGCCTAAAATTCTATTCAATACTTTCTACATACAGTGATCCCAATCAGTTTGAACTGGGGATATTGATCCTCCAGTTAAAATAGAATAACAGAGTTGGAAGGGACCTTGAAGGTCTTCTAGTCCAACCCCCTGCTCAAACAGGAAACACTATATCATTCCAGACAAATGGCTGGTCAGACTCTTAAAAGCTTCCAGTGATGAAGCACTCACGACTTCTGAACTTTCTACTTTTAGATATGATGCTACACGAAAGAATTATTTGCATAGTTTAAAAGGGTAGGACCTATGGAAATAGTTACTAATTGTTGCAGGCGTGTTTTTGTATATATTCTGTAAAACATTTTGTACATAAAAAAATAAGCCAGATTTGGTTTCAGTTAAATTAATTGCTGGAACAATTCACAATTTGTGTTCAGTTTCAGTGTTGTTATTGTTTTCATATTTTTTTAAAAAATGTATTTATTTCAGATTACAATCCCTGGTAATGTTAGACTTAGATCTATTTGTTGGAGCAAAGATCAAGGCTATATAGCCTGTGGAGGTGAAGATGGTCTACTGAAAGTTTTAAAGTTAGAAACAAAAACAGGTAAATGACATTTGTATCAATATAAATTTGTTGGCAACCTAGGGCATATAATGATTTTTTTTTTCTTTTTCACTGTGTTGTGACTTGGCCATCTTGTTCTATCCTTGCATTGCTCACATGATTTGTTCTAGGTAGGACAATCCTACAATCTCTGTTATAGTCTAATGTTCCAAATATTAAAAGCAAACCTCAACAATCCTAATCGAGGGCATTTGAGACAAATTTTATTAAAATTCCCTGTATATTTACATAAGAGAATTAGGTATTTTGCCATTTTCCTATTCATATAGAGTACAAGTAGTCCCCACTTAATGTCTGTTCTGCAACTATTCAAACTTACGACTGTGCTTAAAAAATGGAATTGTGACCCGATCATTATGATCATCATAGTGCTCCTGCAGTCACATAATAAAAATTTGAGCCAAACCGCATTTATGATCACACACACACCCCGCCACTTCTGCCACCTCCCCCAGCAGATGATCATCTTCACTTGTCTCCCTCTGCTGGGCTTACCATCCCTGGCCATGCATGGGGAGATGGGACCCCACAGCTCTGGGGCTCATTGCACCCTCACTCACCAACAATAGGCACCCCCAACTCTACTGTGCCTAGCCAACCACCTGCTCACCTCGCATACCATCCTTCACCCAGCAGTAGCCACTTACCTGACTGCTTGCAAATCCCTTCAGACTTGCAGCTTCCTGCTGGTTTCTCCACAGATTTTGTCATTGGAAGCTGGCAGGAAAGTGCTTATCGACCTACAATCCTCACTTAATGATGGCAGTGGGAACTTCAGGGATAGGCATCGGCAAGCAATGGGGCAATGTGGCATCACACTTTATGACCATGTCACTTAGTGGCAGAAATTCCAGTCCTTATTGCCGTTGTTGTT